AGGGAAGGGGCCAGGCAGGGAGCCTGTGGCAGCTCTGACCACGGAAGGTGGCGGGAGTGGGGAGCCTGAGCTTTGGTTTGTTTGGAGAGGGAAGGAGGGGCCAATCTTGAGCACCTCCAGTGTGCCAGGTATGCTGCGTGCTGACGTGCTCAAGGCACCCCCCAGTTGCCACGGACAGTCCATGTCATTAACCTCATTTGACAGACGAGGAAACAGAGGCTCAGAGGGGTTAAGTAACTCATGAGAGGCCACATAGCTGGTTGGTGGCAAGCCCACTTTTCCCCTCTGGAGCCCAGTTCTTCTCCAATATGTCACTGGGAAGCTGATATGGACATGCAAAGAGAGGTGTCTGAGAAGCCATCAGCCCTCCCTAATTCCCTCGGACCCTCAGCCGAATGCTCACTCTTCACCCATTAGAGATGGACAAGGTGATAAGGACAGTTAAAAGACTGAGGAGAAGGAAGGCTTATTGGTGAAGAGCAGAACTATTTAGCTCAGGGAATGGAAACCTGGGCAGGGGGGTGGTGGTGGCTTCCAGAGATTGTGTAGTCTAGAGACAGCAATGTGGATGGACCCTGCTCTGTCCTGCTTGCCCCTCCAGGTTTCTGGGGCTTGGCCAGGCTGTGTAAAAAGTCATTTCAACCTGTAGACGTGGTTTGCTTGGAAAACTTCTGCCCAGGATGAAGTCCTTGCCCTGCCCACTCCTGTTCATGGCTGAGAGGTAAGTTTCCCTCTGATCATCCACAGTCATTTGCATCAATCTGCATGCAGTATGAATCATTCTGAACTCTTTCACAAGTTTAAATTTAGCCAAATTATTATATTTTAGATGTTGTTAGTTCCTGACTCGTTTTTTCCTCCCCAAGTGTCTTTCCTATTTCTCCCACCCCCAACCAAGTCAGAGCACCAGCCCCGTCTGTGTCTTGAGCTAGACCTTGGCAGGGAGGTGTGATGGAAGGAGGCCTGAGCTCTGCGTCTTGCACTGGTTCTAGTCTCACTTTGCTGGCTGTGTGACCTGAGGCAACTTGCTTAACCTCTCAGAGCCTCAGTTTTCACTACTGAGGAAGGAAAGGAGGACAAGGACGCCTGCCCTCAAGGGCATAAAATGTGGCTTTAAAAAGACTGCTAACACCTGCAAATCATCTGGGCTGGAGCAGCTCTACAAATTCCAAAGTGGACAGTGGAGCTTGGCAACCAGATGTCAGTAGCTAGATTTTACTTTCCTAGGTGATGGCCTCGGCCCCACATTTCCAAGTAGCTTAAAGTCATGGAAAGCAGGCAGCTGCCTGCTTGGATGAATTGTAGGGGTCCTGGGAAGGCATGGTTTCCTTATCAGCCCTGAGGCCTGAAATCCCACAATTAGAGCTTCACTCATTTGGAAGCTTCTAGTTGCAACTACAAGGCTGATCTCCTTGGGAGTGGGATGTGCCACAGGGAAAAAAGCAAGGACTTGAATGCAGACAGACCTGGATCCAAATCCAAAGTGCTGCTACTTAGGGCCAGGAGTAGAGTGAGGCCCACGAGGCGCCTCCCTCCCAGGTGCTGTGTTTGAGCGGGATCGACCTGAGAGCGTCTCCTTAAATTTTGTGCCCGAGGTGCCTTGCTTACTTTGCCCTCATTCTGGCCCTGCCAGTGTTACTCACTAGCTGTGTGAACTTGGGTGATTTATTTACCCTCTCTGAGCCCCAGTTTCCTCATCTATAAAAAGGAGATAATAATACCTACCTTGAAAGGTTGTCGTGAGAATTAAATAAGATAATGTCTGTAAGAGACTTAATTCAGAGCCGGGAGCGTGCTGTTGTGAGTGAGTGAGCCTGTCCACTCCTTTCCCAGAGGTGACTTCTTGGAGGCAGAAGGGGGCGAGTGAATGAGAGCAGGGAGGACCAGGGCATGGCCAAGGGGCCTGGGGTCAAGGCTGTTCAGTTTCACCCAGGACCTGCCTCTGTTCAGAGCCAGCTGAAGCCCAGGCCAGGGTTAGCACTTGAGAAGACCCTGGACCCTGTGAATCGTAGTGCCCAACCTCATACCAGAATAATAAGCTCAGACTGAATCTCTGAAGCTTTCTCCCCATTCCTTGTAAACAATTTATTTTTAATGGTTGACAAACGACAAGAAATTAATATACCTGCCACTCAAGTGGGGAAAATGACTCACGGTTTTTCCGATTTACTGGAAATTACAAGATACTGTTCTCGATGAGTTGATGCTATAATTTTTTTTTGTTTTTCCTCCTCTAAATCTATGTCCCCTGGTCAGAATGGATTTTTATTGGGTTTGTGTTTTGTATTATTGACTGTGAGCTATTGTTATGTGCTGTAATTGAGTTGTGAATCTTTTTTAAATAAAGAATTAGCAGCAAATCAAAGTGGCCACCTGCTGGATCCTGAAATGAGAGCCCAGCTGGCATACAGCACATTGGCAGGGTCTGCTGTCACCTGGGGGAGGCTCTCACCTGGGGGAGGGTGCGGTGGAGGGGGTGGAGAGAGTGGACCCCCACTCGCAGGAACATGAAGCCCCCCATTTCTCTCCTGCGCCACCTCCCAGAGAAGTGGGAGACCTTTTCTGGGCTTTGTTTCTAACTCTGGGTAGGACCTGGGGTGAGTCCCTTTCCTCCTCTGGGTCTCAGTTTCCTCATTTGTGAACTCAGCATAGTAAGATCTGCCCTGCGCATCCTACAGGGTCACTGTGAGAACATATGAGATGTGAAAGTGTGTTCAGGGCTTAGCCAGTAGGAAATTTCTGTTCAGATGTATAGTTGTCTTATCCAGATGGGTCACTTGAGCCATCAGGTGACACCCCTGGGGTCAGCGTTGGAGAGGCCAGTTGTGGAGGTGCATGCTCCTTGGAGGGCCGTCCCAGGTTCCATTCCTACTGCATCGATGAGTGAGCTTCATGGTCCACTTCTTCCCTGTCCCCTTCCTGACCAGCATAGCCCTGAGTGCCTCAGAATATTGGAGCTGGGAGGGGTCTCAGCGCCCTCTCTCTACAACCCCTCATTCTGCAGATGGAGTCACTAGAGAGGAGGGAAGGCAACTTTCAAGGTCATCAAGTGTGCCAGTGGCAGAAGTTGGACCCAAACCCCACTCTGCCTGCAGTCCATCCATCTTTGCCTAATCCCCCGTCTCTGACCTTCAGTGCCCTTTATAGCAATAGCTATCTGTGCAATTACTCTGGCAATTAATCATGCCTGTGACACCTCTCCTACTATTGTCTAGGACTTGATTGGCATTGTGAACTGTTATTGAACTTTTTTGCCCTGTCGTCTTTCCAGAGGTTGTGAGGTTCCAGAGTCTCAGTCTTCTCTACAAGTCCCACAGCACCTACTTAGTGCCTGGCACTCAATAGGGACTCCATGATTCAGTGTCTGGCACGCAGTAGGGACTCCATGTTTCAATGTCTGTCACCCAGTAGGGGCTCCATGGCTGTGAGTTGTGTTGAATGATGGTGTCATCCAGCTGCACAGGCTGGTCTCTGGAGCCAGGTGGGGAAAAGAATGTCATTGAAGGAGACCATCAGGAACAGCTGTGGCCCAGGTCAGCTGGCTCCAGCTGGGATCTGGGGCCTCTTGTACGTTGCGTCTGAAGAGCGAGTGAACTGTGTGAGAACTGCCAGCAGGAGCTGTGGGCCGCAGCTGACAAATGTTTTTATATGTGATCTGTGTGTGCTGGGGGGAGGTGGGGAGGTCTGAGGGCTGAGCGAGGTGCTGAGCCCTAGAGAGACAGGAAGGTGCGCTGGAGGGAGAGGGGTGGGGAGGCAGGGGGAAGTCAGGAGGAGTGAGGGGGTGGCTGGCATCTGCCGAGTGCTGACTGCCTCTACATGGGGCACCACGTCAGGCACAGAACCTCACCAAGTCCCTGGACAGTCCTCTGGACTGGGCTCTATCATCGCCTCTTTCCATTTTATAAGGAGGCTGAGGATCTTACCCCACCCCTTCAGCACAAGCCCCACAATCCATGCCCATTTTGTGGCCCTCCAGTGGTGCCCTCCATGCACTTCAGCCTCCCCCCATTCCCCCACGGCACCCTCTATACAGTTGTCCTGCAGAACCAGGGCCTGGGGATCCCCCTTCACCTGGTGCGCCTCTGGCTGTTACCCTGAGCTTGCTTTTCCTTCTTGATCACGCTCCTTAGGAGAGTAGCTGCCACTCCTGGTCCCGCAGCACCCCATGCCAGAGCGTGATGTCATCCTGGGGTCCTGGGCATTCTCCCCCTCCCATCCTCAAATCACACCTACCCAGCCTCCTGAATGCCTCTTGGCCCTGTCCTTCTCTCCTTCCATCCTCCCCCGGCCCCGGTTTAGCCCTCTTTGACTCCTTTTTGACTCCGGGCTGTTTCTCTCACTCCCACCCTCACGCCGTCACAAGGGGGAGCCAGAGGCATTTGGGAGGTGAGGATCCAGCCCTGGCCCAGCCTTGCCACCTCCAGCTCTGCTCCTGGGGTGGCCTGGCCCAGGCAACCAGGCAGCACCAACTTCTTGTGCCCACAGCAGGCACTGGCCCGCACAGGCTGCTCCTTCCAACATGAAGACTCTCCCTGCTTCTTTGTAGACCACTCTGTCCACCTTCAGACCTCACCCAGGTTCCTGTCTCCTTGTGGAAGCCATTCATGAGCTCAGGTCGAGTGACCGCCTTTCCACTGGCCTCTGGCAGCAGGACCTTGTGTGAACAACCCTCAGTTCTTTCTCTGTCCTGCAGAAATGCTTGTTCACGTGTTCACCGCCCCCACTGGCTGCAGCTCTGCTGGGCGGGGACTGGGTCTTATTCACTTTGGTACATTTACTGTCAGGCATGGTGTCCTAATAGGGGCTTAATATGGAGGTTTGCAAAGTGCGAGGGGGAACAAGTCCAGAAACCAGGACACCCAGGCTTGGAGGGAGTGACCAAGTTACCTGTCACTGTTTTCACAGACGGAGTGGCAAATCCAGGGCAGGGAAAGCAGGGGGAAGAGACGAAACCAGGACACCCAGGCTTGGAGGGAGTGACCAAGTTACCTGTCACTGTTTTCACAGACGCAGTGGCAAATCCAGGGCAGGGAAAGCAGGGGGAAGAGATGGGGGTGCCAGGGTTGCACCTGAGGCCCCACACCAGCCCACTGTCTCTTCCTCCCCAGCCCCTCCTGCCTCTCCCTTTTTCTGGGCCTCTTCCTTTGGGGTGGTGGGCACAGGTGTAGAGGGTGGGAGATGGGCTCAGGATAAACTACCAGTTAAGAGTGGGGGTGCTTTCAAGTGTACACATCCCTGAGGAAGCCCCAGGTGATGGTGGCTCCCTTGGCACATACTAGGTGTGTGGAAAGTGGCAGCTCCGTCCCCTCACCTCGCTGACAGTAGGCAGAGTAGTCACCGGGAGCAATTATAGCGCCAGGCCTATAGGGCAGTACCCTGTGCAAGTTTGGAAGTGGGCCTGATTCACACTGTCTTGGGGAAACACAGCCCAAGAGGACCCCCGTACAAGCCATCTCCTGACTGTGCACCTCTATGAGACAGGCAGCAGGGGAGTTCTGGCCAGTCTGGTTTTGGAGTTTCCCTGGGTAGGGATGGGACAATGGGCTTTGTTGGGGGCCTACTGTTGGGGTCCCTGTCTACCTCACAACTCCTCCACTTTCTTCTTTATGTTGCCTTTTGTATATGGGGTGTGCTGGCCAATATCCCTTCAGGTGGTTGGGCCTTCCCTCCCAGGCTCACATTTCCAAAGGCTTCTGGAGATGGGTGGAGGATGGCTCCTATGTCTGCCTCCCAGAGTCCAGGTGTGGACATTCGTAGTAAGAGCACAGACTTTGTACCACAGGGCCCTGGGTTTAAATCCTGACTCTGCCACTGATTGTGCAGCATCAAATCTATGGCTAAGTTTCTCTGACTCCAGAAAGCATGGGAATATCAATAAAACAGTGATAATGCCACCCACCACACTGCTAAAAGCAGGAGAAATAGCTGGTGGGTCTTCAACAAGCATTCATCCCATTCTCCCTGGGAGTCCTTTCCTCCCTGCTCTGGGACCAGGGAGGTTTGGTTTGGCAGGACGGGGTGGCCTGGCTTGCTCAATGTGGTGGGGCCAGAGGAGGCAGGGTGTCTTTGGGGACATTTATTGGGGGTGTATGGGACCTGGAGGAGCTCATCTGATTGCAGCCAAACCTTGTTATCACATTCCTGCCCAGAAAGTAATTTAAAAAGCACTTAGTGCTCTCTCTGTAACACATTTACCCCAAGGCCCTGGGGATGGGGCTGCCACAGGAAACGAAGCTGGAAAGAGAAAACAAGGAAATCTGAGAAGCCCCTTTCCTTCCTGGGGGGACTGAGGACGTGGTGGGGTTGGGGGCTGCGGAAGGGGAAAGGAGAGCTTACTTCCCACTGTGTCTTGCTCCTGGGGACGCGTAATCATGATGCTTCTCTTTTAAATAGCTCTGCTGGTGCGCCACAGTGAGGCCTGCTTGAGAAGTCTGGTGTTGGAGGCTGCTTCTGGATTGTGTGACTGCAGGGAGGCTCCTGACACTGAGCCTCAGTTTCCTCATTTGAAAAATGAGGACTGCAGCACTGGCCTTGCTGCAGTTGAGCTCATGTGAGGACTACCCAGGGTTTTCTAAGTCCAGGGTTTGATTGAACTCAGTGGATCTCAAAGGCTGCATCAGCATCGCCTGGAGACTTATTAGAAATTCACATTCTCAGACTCCCCTCCAGACTTACAGAATCAGACACTCTGGCAGTGTCTGGAGCCTCGCAATGTGGGTTTTAACCAGCTACATTCTTGCCATTAGCTTCGCTTAGTATCATGGCCTCAAAGTGACACGGGGTGTCGGGCCTCCCTCCAGCCTGGCTTGCTCTAGTAGGACACTGCTGGGTTGGGGCTGAGAGTGGGGCGAGCATTCGAGAACAGAATGCTTCACTTGAGAACAATGAAGGCCCAGGACAGGAGGCTCAAGGATAAGAACATTGGCTTAATGTGCATCATACTTTTGTTTCCCAAACACTTTTACATGCACTGCCTCATTTGAAGAGCATCAAGTAATATCCAAGGAACAGTCTACCATAATTATCACTATTAGCAATAATTCTCAAGCTAGCTCATGCATGCATATCATCTCCACAAATGGTCTGTGGTCTTCTTGAGGACAAGGAACACATCTTCTTTTGTTGCCATATTTCACTATCCCATTCTCCTCGTCTGCAGCCCTTTCACCCCACTGTCAGCCAGGATCTATGGCCTTTGAACTTTGGCGTGCTTGGGCACCCTGTAGGCATGCACCCCCAGGCAGGACTCCAGTCCTCTTCAGGACTCCCCCTCTCCCATACGTACCTGTAGGTGTCGGTGGCTGGCACCTTCCAGATCTGGATGCCCTTTAGGGGGCCCTCGCTGCCCACTACCACGCTCAGGTTGGAGTTCTGGTAGGCGTTGTTGCACTGGGCCTGGGTGGGGCCGTGGGGCCCACTGGCCCCACATGTGGTGAACAGCCAGTGAACTGTGGCACAAGAGGACAAGGCAGTCACTCACTTGACCCAGCCCTCCTCCTCCAACGGCCTTCCCGGGCTTCATCTCAGATGTCTGCTCCATGATCCCAAACCCACATTTCAAGATGGCACCAAGGTCTGGGCAAGAAGCATGGATCAGTATTTCAAACTGGACTTTTGTTGAGAGCCTAGTATGTGCCAGACCCTGGGTCAGATACCAGGGGAGAGACAAAGATATGGAGCAGACTTGGGCCCTGGCCTTAAGAAGCTTATAGCCTACTAAGAGACAGAAAAGGATGCAACCAACTGCAATATAGGACAGTAAGAAAAAGGGAAAGCCACAGGAGAGTCCAGCTCACACTGTGCTAGGAGAGCTCTGATGAGGGACAGAAGGCCCCTATCGGGTGGCACAGGCTGGGCAGTGGCTGGTCTTCTCCTGGTCTTTCACCAAGTCCAGTATGAGATTGAATAACAGGTGCTCACTCTGTGCTGTTGTGATTGCAGCTAAACCTGTTCTCAAAGGTTTGGCTTCCGTGTTTAGGGAACCTCTTAGCATGGAGAAGATTGAAAGAGTAAATTGGACACAGTATGGGCACCATGACTCTACCACTGGCCTTGGGGACCCAGGCCAGTGTGGGAGCAGGAAGCCTGGCACTCACTGGCCATGGCTTTGTCTGTTTGGCAGGCACCCTCTAAGGAGGCCCTCTGCCTCCTTGTTACCAAGCAACTTGTGGCTGTCTATGCAACAGAGAGTATCAAACACGCCAGGCCAGTGTGGGAGCAGGAAGCCTGGCACTCACTGGCCATGGCTTTGTCTGTTTGGCAGACACCCTCTAAGGAGGCCCTCTGCCTCCTTGTTACCAAGCAACTTGTGGCTGTCTATGCAACAGAGAGTATCAAACACAAAAAAACAGGTCAAATTTGTCTTCGCATGCCCTCCTTTCCCCAGTTCCTCACCCACTTCCTGATGCTCCACGTCCTCACCCAATGTCCTTTGGTCGTCTTCACTCAGAGCAAACCCTTCTCCCACCTCCCCCACCACTGGGCTGTTTCCTTTCAAACTTTCTGTCTTTGAGCCAGGCCAGACCTTGGGGAGTTGTCATATCTCATGTTGGGCAGAATTCTAACATTTTTACAACCCATAAAAACTTAAAAAAAAAGTGTTCTTGATAAATTACTTCTACTTAAGATACAAAAATCTCATTATAAGATTGCAGAAATTGTTTCTCTTTAAGGAGAGATTAAATTGAATTCTACCTACAGAAAATGATGAAAAAATTAATTTGGGTATATAGAGCTTTGTTCACTAAAACATTAAAGTGAAAAAATTTTGAAGACTTTGAACTAATTTCATGATGTGAATCTGAAGGGTTAATTTGGGTAGACAATTATAAACAATAAATTGAGATGATGCTGGGCAGGCTTGATAATCTGAGAACTGGGCCAGTTGTGGTGGGTTTTGGTGACACTGTCCTGGCCCTGAGGTCAGGAGGTCTCAAGTCCCGGTTGGGGATCCAACACACATGGTTACTCACGCTGAATACTCAACCCTCTTACGGGCTTCATTTTTATTTCAAATGAAGGTGTTTTCTATTTAGTTTCTGAAGGTCATTTCAAGGGCTAGAAGGCAACAAATCCAAATCCATTCACTTTTGGTGTGAATGGTTGATTGTTAATTTTCTGATTTATTTGTATTAAAAAGGGGACAAACCTATTAATTCAAAGAAGTGACTTTTTACAGAAGGCATTTTAGCAGAGCTTGTTTGGCCGGTTGCCCTTTTACCCACTCCAGTGCCCAAAATGTCAGCGTAGGCTGTGCCAGAGGGGTGAAGTGGAGAGGACACGGTCTTTGAAATCAGCAAGAACACCTGGGTTTGATCGTGCAACCTTGATCTAGTTCCTTCATCTGTAAAAGGGGCTGGATTGGCATACTAAAAAACCAAATGAACAAGGAAGTATGAAAGTTCACTGTAACTTCCCAAACCCTAAAAATGTGAGTGTGTCCATGACTCCCGCCTATACCTAAGGCTGGCGCTGTCCCCGACAATGAGAAATGTGGCCAGGGGAGTTTTTGTGAATATGGATCCAGTGCCAGCAGCACCTGGGAATTTAAACTTAGTGGGTTGGGTGAGGATGGGAGCAGAGATAAAAAGAAAATCTCTTGAAAAAACCACCTCTCCAATTATCTTTAGCTCCTTGAAATCTGTCCTGCAGGTCAGTCTGTGCCTGTAGCAAGCAGCCTGGGCTTGGGGGCACCATCAATCTGGGGCTGAAGCATCATGGTTCATTTAATTAATTCAACTCCAGAAATGAAAGAATACCTAGATATTTTTTTTTTCTCAAGAGTGTGCTGGGGAAGAGAGTATGGCCTTGGGACCCTACCTGAGCATCTAACCTTCAGTGGGACCCACTTCTAACTTTGGCCTAGGTTAACATTGTTATAAAGGCTCCGAGATGTTCCCAGAAATGCTGGGCTTCTACCTCTTGTCCAGATGGGATATCTGGTGAGGTAGGAAGAGGGGCATGGGCTTTAGATTCAGACAGACTAAATTTTCTCATTCCTGGATTTTTGCCCCTGACCAGCCGTGAAATCTTGGACAGGTTATATAAACTCTCTGAGCCTCAGTTTTTTAATCTGAACAAATGGAGATTATAACACCTACTACTTAGACTTCGACATAAGCAAAGCACTTAGCACAACATTCGGCACTAGAGGTGCATAATAAATAGAGGTTAAAGAGTGTGTAACTTCATGTTCAATGTCTCACGGTGGGAAGCAGACACCCAGTCTCAAGATTTATGTCCCCTTCCCATAAAGGAGGGACTTTAAGGCCATTTCTCAATACAGGGACCAATAGTTTCTTAATTCAGTGGACATATATTAGTCTCAGGTGGTTTCTATACACAAAATTTTGTTTTTATTTTCAGTGATTTCAGAAGGAAAGGTCCAGAGAGGGAACTCTTTGTAAAGTGAATTCCATGGGAATGGAGGATTTACTATCCCAGGTCAGACCCATGATTCATCCGGCTGGAATTCTGTTGCTCCCAGCAGCCTTCGAGGCATGGTGGTCATCCTGCTCCCTGAATGGCTCTGACTCTCACAGATCTGCCCAAAGTTGTTTGGAATCGATTTATGTTTCCCACCAGCAGCACCTCTTGGGGGTGTGGAGTTTCTGAGTTTATTGCTTTTCTGCAAAGGCTGCCCTGCTTCTCATGTGTGTGGGGTGGTCTTGCTCAAGCTTCATCCCATTGGTTACTCTTGTTTATTCTGTCTGGAATCTCTTAGACACTATAGAATATCACAGCAAATTGGGATCTTGGAGATCTCTGAAACCAGTGTTTCCCAAACAACCCAAGGACCTTTAAAAACAGATTCCAGGCCCCAGAGACTGAGATTCAGTAGATCCTGGGTGGGGATGTGAAGGCAATACTTGCACTGTGCAAAAACCTTCCCAAGAGAATCTGATACTCAGCTGGATTTGTACACTACTCCCAGGAGATTCAGTAGATCCTGGGTGGGGATGTGAAGGCAATACTTGCACTGTGCAAAAACCTTCCGAAGAGAATCTGATACTCAGCTGGATTTGTACACTACTCCCACCTTCATCATTGTCCAGATGGAGAAAGCATTATGGGGGCGGGGGGAAGTGACTTTTCTGAGCATATTAGGATTGGAGAAAGAACCAAAATTAAGGATTCTTCCTTCTCTGCTCAAGGGTCCTTTAGTGGTGATCAAGCCCTTCCCAGCTGTCCTGAAGACTTCCAGCCTTAACAGATATCGACATGAGTCCCAGATCCACAGTGTCCTTTTCAGGATCTTCTTTAATGGTAGAATTTGCTGTTCAGGATGGGTCCACTAGAACTGTGGGTAGTTGTGGCTTTGCATAAGAGGACAGTTGCTATTCTGCTTTATTTCCAGTGTCCCTCTGAAGGTGCCCCACACAGTATCGGCCTTCCTCAGCTGAGCACCAGGCTGAGGCTTGCTGGGAACAGAATCTAATAATTTCCAGATCCTTGCCCCAGGGGTGGGCTATTGCTCTGAGCCTGGTGGTATTAACTGTTCCAGAACCTACAGGAGGCATCTGGAACAGGGAACCCTAGAAGCGGGGAAACCTGGCAGGTACTTCAGGCAGGGTAGGCATGAGATCAGTTCTAAACTAAGGAAGGTTCTAAGGAACCAGGAGAGTGTAGGCAGATGCTAGGTTGGTTTTCAGAAGTGTCACTGGAGTAAAGGGCATTGGGCACAAACTTGTAGATCAAAGTATGAAGGTCCAAGAACCTGAGGAGCAAGAGGATTAGCAACAGTGGTGACAGGGCGCTGGAGAAGTCAAAGTGAGATTTGATCTCCAGGTTGAAGCTGTTTCCTAACTTGTTTTTTTCTTCCTTCTGGGTGAGTGGTGGGGGTGGGAGGGGCTGAAACATAGATACCTGAGAGGTAAATTCCACCCATGAAGGGAGCAAAAATCTTCCAATATTTATTGTGCACCTAACATGAGTCAAGCCCTGTGCTTTCATATAAGTATTAAATGTGTTTAAACTTGCTGAAACTTTGTAGCACTGGAGGGAGACTTATAGTATCCCTTTTAAATATCAGGAAGTTCAAGTTCAGAGAAGCTGAGTGACTGTAGATCTTCTGAGTCCAAGTTCAAGGCTTAAAAAGGTGCTAGGACCACCAAGAAATCCCTATGGAACCTTTCTGAGTGTCTAGGTTTTCTTCTTTTAAATCCCCGAGCCTGGGGCTCAGTTAAAGCCAGGACAAACCATACCACCAAGGTTGCTCAGACCCAAAGGGCCACCATGAGGGGACTGGTGAGAGTTTGGTCAGTGTATTGTGGTGGGTGGACCCTCAGTCCCAGAAAATCCCACAGTGGCCCCAATAGTAGCTTAACCTCATGGAGTGTGGGCTTTGCTGGGTCATGGGCAGTAGCCAAGAAAAGCAGGTACTCAGGGTTAGGGCTCTTGTCCCCAGAGAGACCAGGGGGAACCAGGTGGTGTCAAAAGGGAAATCCAG